GGATTAAACTACTGTATACCCTGGATTAAATTATACCCTGGATTAAACTATAAACTATACCCTGGATTAAACTATACCCTTGATTAAACTATAAACTACACCCTGGATTAAACTATACCCTAGATTAAACTATACCCTGGATTAAACTTTATCTTGGATTAAGCTATAAACTATACCCTGGATTAAACTATAAACTATACCCTGGATTAAACCATAAACTATACCCTGGATTAAACTATAAACTATACCCTGGATTAAACCATAAACTATACCCTGGATTAAACTATACCCTGGATTAAACTATAAACTATACTCTGGATTAAACTATACCCTGGATTAAACTATAAACTATACTCTGGATTAAACTATACCCTGGATTAATCTAAACCCTGGATTAATCTATACCCTGGATTAATCTATACCCTGGATTATTCTATACCCTGGATTAATCTATACCCTGGATGTCTCCATGTCAGTTTGTCATCAGTGGTGACACCCACAGATTTCAGCTCACTGACTTCACAGATCTGAATAAATTTACTTTAAATAACAAATCAACAGTTGTCTTCCTGTTACTAAATATCATGGAATTTGTTTTATACAGATTTAATAATTTGTTTTGTTAAAACCAATTTTGTATTTTCTCATTCTTTCTGGACCATCTCAAACATTTATTTATATCTTTACCTTAACAAAAAAAAGTATCGTCTGTAAATAAAACCCCTCTGGTCATAGTGTTGATGTAAACCTGGGTGGGTTCTACCAGCTGCAGTCGATCCTGATCCTTTATTAGAAGTTAATCCTTARATTTTACCATCGTTTGACTGGTTCCACATTAAATCCAGTGGAGTGGCTGAACAGGAAGTTGTAGCTCAGTTTGTGTGGCGGCACCGTGAGGATCTCCAAACAGGAAGCAGAATAATCAGATTCAGTCCTTCGGCTGGAGTGAGAGATGAATATTTATCAGACGGGGGGGGTGGGATCAGAGGAACAGATCTGCTTTGTTCTGGAAGACGGCAGGACTGAGGTGAAGACAGGAGGAGGAGAATGAAGGAGGTCCGGGTTTGGCTCATCCTTTAAATCTGACAAACTGGGCATCTGAGTGAGACCACACTGCTGTCTGTCTGACGAGAGGATTTACTAAACACTTCCTGGTTGAGTCCTGAAATAAAGCTGCAGGAGGCGGGGCTTGGCCTTCAGGTGGAAACATGTTGGACACAGGTGGTCTCAGGGTCTACAGGCAGGAACACACAGGTACAAACCTCCATCTTGGTGGGTTTAAAGAGTTCTGGACCCGTTGGACCTGCAGCTGAAGAAAAATCCTGGAAACTAATTCTTGTCGTTCGTCTCAGCTTCTCTTCTCTGCAGGTTTGCATCGTTTTCGTTTCAGCTTCTTATTTGTCAACCACCACCACCACCCCGCCCACGATGCTCCAGTGAAACCATGACAACAGCGGAACCGCACAAACCCGAGTCCCCCCGTCAGAACGAGCCGACCCACCGGAGGTGTTTTAACGAGGCTGAAACCAGAGGAGAAGCGACAGAGGAGCTAATGAAGACAAAAACTCCTGAAGTTGTCGTTTTTAATTACCAGAGAGGGAGTGTGGAGGATTAGTTCATTTTCTCAGGCTGTCACCATGAAACAGAACCTCTGTGGTGTTAAAGCCGTCCTCCAGAACACACACAGAACTAACTGACCCACTTGGATCTGGCAGCAGAAATCAAACCTCTCTGTCGTGTTTAATGAAGCAGATAAATGTCTGAACTCCAGGCTTCATCTTGAATCTGAAGAGTTAAAACCCTGACTCTGTTCAGTTCTGTCTGATTAAATGCTTCGTCAGCAGATTCTCTCCTGTTATATTATTGATCTGTCGTGAGTTAACTCCTCCCCCCATGACAGCAGGGATTATCAGATGATCTGCATCAGAACACAAAGCAAACAGCTTCTGGCTAAAACACTTAAAAACAGCAGCATCATTAAAGATGAATTGTTTCGTTTACAGGGACTCCTTGATAAAAGAAAACTCAGACATGTTTRATTGTTCTGGACTGGTTCGACTCTGTGCATCATATCAGTGTCAGGAGATATTCTTTTAATAAAAATATTAATATCTTTAAATTAAACCACAGTTTAAACCACATTCGTCTTTTCTTATCACTGCATTTTAGTCAATTTGACAGGTTTTTAAAGGAACATTAACCTGATTGAAACATTAAAGATGTTATTTACACTGTGGAACAGAGATATTTAAACAAGGACGTGACTTCATGCAGTCATGTTAGAGAAGCTTTTCACTGTTCAACACACAACTGATATAAATGTACAAGTTTTCACTTAGAATCAAACTGAACGAAAACATCTGGTGAAATCTGAGCCAAAGTTTGTCACAAGTTTACTTACATTTTAATAATGGTTCACCTGGTGTGATGGTTGGATGGATGATGGTTGGATGATGGATGGATGGATGGATGGATGATGGTTGGATGATGGATGGATGGATGGATGATGGTTGGATGATGGATGATGGATGGATGATGGATGGATGATGGATGATGGTTGGATGATGGATGGATGGATGGATGATGGTTGGATGATGGATGGATAGATGATGGATGATGGTTGGACAGTTGGATGATGATTGGTTGGATGATGGATGGATGATGGTTGGACAGATGGATGATGATTGGATGGATGATGGATGGATGGATGGATGATGGTTGGATGGATGATAGTTGGATGATGGATGGATGGATGATGGTTGGATGGATGATGGTTAGACAGATGGATGGATGGATGATGGTTGGACAGATGGATGATGGATGGATGGATGATGGTTGGATGATGGATGATGATTGGATGGATGATGGATGGTAGATAAAAAGCTCTGTGAGCCTCTGACAGGATGTTTAGTTTTAAACTTGTCTAGCATGATGTTTCCTGGACTTTGTTCTGTATTTCCAGATGAAACAGGAAGTGATGAAAGACTCAAACAAGAAGTGATGAAAGACTCAGACAAACAGGAAATGATGAAAGACTCAAACAGGAAGTGATGAAAGACTCAAAGAGGAAGTGATGAAAGACCCTGACAAACAGGAAGTGATGAAAGACTCAAACAGGAAGTGATGAAAGATTCAAACAGGAAGTGATGAAAGACTCAAACAGGAAGTGATGAAAGACTCAGACAGAAAGTGATGAAAGACTCAAACAGGAAGTGATGAAAGACTCAGACAAACAGGAAGTGATGAAAGACTCAGACAAACAGGAAGTGATGAAAGACTCAGACAAACAGGAAGTGATGAAAGACTCGGACAAACAGGAAGTGATGAAAGACTCAGACAAACAGGAAGTGATGAAAGACTCAGACAAACAGGAAGTGATGAAAGACTCAGAGCTGCTGTTGATGAGACAAAGATTAACCATCAGAGCAGCAGAGAAACTCTTCAGGAACAGATCAGTGAGCAGCTTCCAGAGCTGCAGCTGCTCAGCTGAAAAAACACCTTCAAATAACAAATGTGAGATGAGAAAACATTTCAGCACCAGCTGTTAATAAATGCGAGAGGTCTGTGTTGGTTCTGGCCCTGGTTCTGGTCCGTCCTTCAGACTCTAACGATCCTGAAGACGAGCAGCAGCTGGGCTGGCTGCGCTCCACTGAGGTGGGCGTCCTCGCCCCCGCCGCCTCAGAAACATGGCAGCCTGTGATTGTGCTGAAACAAACACCGACAGGTCCTCCCCCGCTCCGGTTCTGATCCAGCACAGACCACATCACTCCCATCCTAACAGAACCTGAGCCGTTCGGTTCTGGACCCGCAGAATTTCTCGTCTTTGACTTGTTCGGGTTTTCACCGGAGCAGCTCAAGGTTCAGAGGGAACCTGCAGGGACTCAGGCAGTGCTTCCAGGAAATAGACGGGTCCAAACGTCTCAAAGTTTGGTCCTGGTTTTATTAAAGTCCTGTAATCCTCTGTTTGTTTCTGTGGGAAACTGAGACACAAGGCTGGAAATTCAAAGCTGCTGAGCAGAACCTCACATCTACCAAACAGCCGAGCAGTTAGGTTAGTAAAACTAAAACCTGATCAAGTAAACCTGAGCTCTGGTTTATCTGAAGCTCTGAGGAACTGATCTTTCATCACGTTTAGTTAAAATGAGCCAAACTTCAGGAGGGAAATGATTGAAACATTTTGTCTCTGATGCTTCTGGGCTTCATGTTTCTTCTTCTGTGGTTTTGTTGCAGTGGTTCGGGGACCTGGTGACTCCGGTCTGGTGGGAGGACGTCTGGTTAAAGGAAGGCTTCGCTCATTTCTTCGAGTACGTCGGCACCGACTTCCTGTTCCCCAAGTGGAACATGGTGAGTGGCAGAGCTGGAAACTAAGTACAAATACTTTGTTGCTGTACGAAAGTAGAAATTTTGGGTATCTCTACTTTACTTGAATAATTATTTTTCAGCGTATGTTTTACTTCTACTCCTTACATTTTTTTAAAATGTAAGGAGTAGAAATTAATTTCTCCTATTTTATTCCAGGTTGTTGTTATTTAAAAATAAATATTATCCTGATAAATTGTGTTTCCTGTAAAGAGTGAATTTAATTGTGTTTGGATGAGAAGTATAAATATACACTATTCTGACACAGTATTACTTTGTACACAACCCATCACAGCTGCACGCTGTTAGAAAATATATTTTTTGGAGAAGTCACCTCCCAATGAATGTCATAACTACTCAGTTTTACTCAGTACCTTTACTTTTAATACTTAAGTAGATTTTGTGTCAGAAACTTACTTTTGATACTTTAGTACAAAAAATATCAGATACTTTAAGACTTTTACTCAAGTAATATTCTTATTGAAGGCTTTAACTTTTACGAAAGTATTTTTATGGTAATATACTTGTACTTTTACTCAAGTATCACTTTGTGGTACTTTGTACAACACTGGTGAGTGTAAACATGGAGGTTTTATCCTCTTCATGAGAGTCTGTAAAGTCCTGACATCTGGTTCAGGCTTTAAATGTTTCATTCAGTTTATTGATACGGAAGTTTTAGTGAAAAATTACAGCAGTATTTAAAAAGAGAGGGGAGATGAAATGGGACCGAGAGCGGCTCCTTGGGGAACTCCGGTCTGAGGCAGGAACAGGTCCTGCTGTCAGCCAGGTGAACATGAAGGAGGTGGAGCTGCTCCTGGAACTCCCACGGATCAGTTTTCTCCTGGCTGTGAGTCTGTTGTTCCTCTTGGTCAGCAGATAACGTTTTAATATTTTTATTTATTTATTTAATGTTTGCGTCGGCAGCAGGAGCTCGGAGCGGCTCGGTCTAAAGCTTGGATGAATTGGAAATGAATTCCTGGCAGCTTCCCTGCGAAGGACAACCTCGCTGGAAACTTCTGCAGAAGTTTAAATTACAGCAGAGTGTCTTTAGTTTCCGCAGGAGTGTGGTTGTTTACACACTCACAGACACACACAGACACACAAGGCTTATCTGTGCCGGCACACACAGCCTGTGTCTGAGCGACGTAGCGTTTGTAAACCCATCTTCCTGCAGCTCCACGCAGCCGAAGCTTTAATAAAACCACGCAGATGAAACAGATGTGTGATCTAATTCTTCTCTTTACTGCAGCTTTCACAGAAATAACACGAGGAGCTGCTTTTCCTCTAAACAAGTCATCAACCAGAGGTTCAAATAGCTCAGGATTCACTTTGTGTTTCTTTGTTTTCACGTTAAAGTGGAGTTTTATTTTCCTGAACAGAAACGTCTCGTTTCCTTTAGATTAAAGATAAAAACCTGTTTGTTTCAGGCTGTAAATAAACTCCTGTTAGATTCAGAAAAGATTTAAAGTTACAATAAATTAAAGGTGTTAAAGTGACTGCAGGTTCTTCATCTTTTAAAGAGCTGATTTCACATGAGAGCTTTGTCACTTTTTATGACGTCAGCGTGACGAGTCGTCAGAATAAAGACATTTAAACAAAAACAAACTTTATTTACTGAGAAATAAAAACAGATCAAATATTTAAAGTTTGTGGATCAAACAGAAACCAGAAGCTTCTGTACAGAACCAGACCTTCATCAGACTGAGGAGGAGGAGGAGGAGGAGGAGACGTTTAAAGCTCCTCAGCTGCTCCTGAACTCAGCATCTGCTCCATCACGACCAGCTGGACCTCCTCCTCCTCCTCCTCCTCTTCCTCCTCCCTCCAGGTGATTCAAAGAGCTCGTTAATCAGACCTGACGTCTCATCTCTGAGGAGACCCCGCTCCTCTGAGGAGACCGCTCTCCTCTGAGGAGACCCCTCTCCTCTGAGGAGACCCCTCTCCTCTGAGGAGACCCCGCTCCTGTGATGAGACCCCTCTCCTCTGAGGAGACCCCGCTCCTCACAGTTTTAATTTTCTTTGTTTATTTTAATTTTTAATTAATTAAAAATCCTCCGATCTGGAGCAGGTTCTGGTTCAGAGCGGGTCGGGTCCAGCTCAGAACCTGGACCTGATGAGATGTGTGTCTCCAGGAGAAGCAGAGGTTCCTCACTGATGTTCTCCATGAGGTGATGCTGCTGGACGGCCTGAGCTCCTCTCATCCCATCTCCCAGGAGGTCCAGCAGGCCACCGACATAGACCGGGTCTTCGACTGGATCGCCTACAAGAAGGTGGGACCAGGTTTTACACCAGACCTCTGTTGAAAGGTTAGAAACAGTCAATATCTTACCTGCTGTAGATTAAACTAAACGTTTCTCCAGACTGTTTAAAAATCTYTCTTCAACAGGTAAGATATTAACTGTTCATAACCTCACCACAGAACTCCTCTTTAAAGAGTTTCTGCTGTTTCTCTGTGCGGCCTGCAGGGGGCGGCGCTGATCCGAATGCTGGCCAACGTGATGGGCCAGCCGCTGTTCCAGAAAGGCCTCAATGTAAGTCCAGACCCACACCTGGTCCAGGTTCTGTTTGTCTCCAGAACTTCAGAACCACCCGTCGTTTGTTGATGACTGAAAACGAGCTGTGATTGGTCTAAAGTGACATCATCGGAAACTCCTAAAGCTTCTGATAACCCAGTAAAAACATTCACAAATGTAAAACTTCTATTTTGATCCTGAATAAAAATATATTTCAGTGCGTTAGCATGTTAGCATGTTAGCATGTTAGCATGTAGCATCTTTAGCTGTTAAACTTCAAGATAAGAAATAAAAATTTAACAATATTTAAAGAACAATTACTAAAATGGACTCTATAAATATACATTTGATTAACTTCAAACTATAAAATACAAACTCATCAAAGAAATGCTTTTATTTTGAAAGGGTTCAACTGGACGTATCACAAGTTGGACAGAGCTGTAACTGGTTCTGATTGGCCGATGTGCCACAGATGATCCCACCCACCTTCAAATTAAACCAATAGAAAGCAAGGTTGTGTCCGTCCCACCGGTCTGCAACTGACTGTCCTGTTAGCAGTTAGCGTTAGCTTCCACCTGTTAGCAGATTAATGGTTTGTGAAGCTAACGCTTTGGTTAGCTGTGCTCACCGCTGCAGGAAGTGACATCATCTCGCATTGGATCCTGTTCCTGGAACCCGTCTAGTTTTATTTATTTATTTATTTATTCATTTATTTATCCATCTTTCACAATAAAAGCTTGAGTTTAACGTTTTACATCTGATTTCATCTGATTCTTGAAGACTTTTAACTTTTTTTGTAATAAAACTGTAAATAAAATTAAATTAAGTTTTTTAAATCAAAGCAGCCTTCAGCTACAACCAAACCGAACTTCAGCTCAGGTTGGTTAGCTGTGCTCACCGCTGCAGGAAGTGACGTCTACTTGTGTTGGATCCTGTTCCTGGAACTGGTCTAGATTTATTTATTTATTTATTTATTTATTTATTTATTTATTT